TCACCATCCTTGCGATTTCTTTATTGATTCTTCGTAATTCTTATCGAAACTTATTGATCAATCAAGTTAATGACTTTCCGTCATTTCGTAGTACTGTTTCCTATTCGATCCGGTTAAATTTTGCACAAACATCGAGTTATGTCGACGAAGATAAGCTACTTCCCTGCACTTGCGTCACACGTTTTGTCAGGCATAGATCTATTTTGTAGATCTTGCTTCTCCCTTGTGATTCCGGTGACGGTTCAGGTTTAGATCGGCAGTGGTGAAGCACCTATTGTGGTCTCCCTCCTCCGTCCTTTGTGGTTTCGCTATTTCCAAGTTTCCTTAGATTGACCGCCGCGTCTCGTTCTTCTGCTCCGGTGGTTTAGGCTTCTTCTCCGACGATTGTTTCTGCAAAAGGACGGTCGTGTGGCCTGAAGAGAGTCGCCTTTGTCTCCACCTAGAAGTCCGAGCTTGTCTTTTGGTGCTAGTGATTCAAGAGATTATCGGTGGCTTTGTCATATTTGCTTCGCCGAGAAATTGGTGTGGGTTTCTCTCCGACTTGTAGCTGTTGAACCCTCGATCTCTTAGTCCTTCTCTATTTGATTTTGGTTTTCTAGCAATGTTTCTTGGTTGGTGTCTTTTGGCTTCTCGACTTGACAATTAGGCTCGATGAAGTGTTTGATTCTCTTTTGGTAAATCTTCATGAAGACAGCAAAAGATCCCTTAGGAAGTGGTCAAGTGGCGTCTCGAGTGTGGGGTATCGTTTAAGTTTGGTCTAATTTCGCTTACAAGTTCTTACGGTGATGGAGCTTTGGAGATGTTTTGGCTACCGGTGGTGGCTTTCTTCGCATCTCCTTGGGTTTGCATCGCATGTATATCTAGTATAGTTGAAAGGTTTCAAGCCCTGATGTTGCTTGTGTCTTTCTGGTGATGGTGTTGTGAAGATGAGATCTTTAAGTTGCATGACGTTTTTGCTTTGGTTGATGGGCTATGTGCACTAGAGGAGCTAGTAAGACTATTTGTGGTTGTTGTAGTTTTGGAAAAGTTTTATATAGCTCTGTGCTAGCCGACTTCAGGAGAAACTTGGTAGAGTGAGCTTTCACGATCACATTATGGTTTGCGAGGTCTCTTTTCTGTGATAGATCATGGAAGCGTTCATCGAGTCGCTCTCACATGACGCAAGAAGTAGGCCTAGCGAGAAGAGTATGTGATCGAGAGCTCAATATCGTTGCCATTGACGACGCAGTCTTGGGCCTCCAGTGAAAGGCTTCTAGTGCTAGAATTGTTGTCACTCAAACAAATGCTTGCTTCTTGCACTTTCATCTCGAGCAATGGATTTGGAAGAACATCAATATCGTCATAACTTTATCTAACTCCATTGGCCTTTGTGCTTTTGTCGAGTGGATGGACTGAAAAATGTCATGAATTATACTTCCATGTTTTTATCTTTTTGCCATGGAACCATTCTATAGGTTTATGTTTTAATTGTAAACCTTAAACGTTTTCATTTTTAGTAAAATATTTACAATTTAGCAAAAAAAAAAAAAAGTTTGAACAAACAAAAAATAGTCACAATGAAATTTTTGTAATTGAACCAAATAAACCAATTTGTTTTACTATAAGAATATTTTCATGAAATGAAAATACTAAAATTAAGATAATCCATTTTTGTTGTTGTTCTGGTTAAAATATTAATAACGAGTTTAAATACATAGTACAAGCCTAAATCCCGGCAATCAGAGGTGGTATTTACGAGGAATATAGCTCATGGGCCATAATCACTTGATGGGCTCATTTTTCGGTAAACAGGCCTGTCCTCATAAAATTGACCAAACTCTCTATAGAGCCCACACGTGTTGAGGAGGCGGGAAACTAAACATCATCGCCGACCGAGGAACCAAAGTCCCCT